CGTACGCAACGGCGACGCCGGTGGTCAACGTACTTTGGGAAGAAACGCGATCGCTGTCACGAAGTCGATGTGTTGGAAACAACACAGGCATTCCATCCTGGACACGTGCCACAACCTTACGGTTCGGTCCATGCTGCTCGAAAGAATGAAATAGTTCTAAACAGGTTAAACAGTGAATGACTTTCGAAAACAAGTTAAGAGTCAATAACAGAAGTATGGAATGAACATGATGACGCTTTTGCTAGAATTTACACATGCACGATTCTCTCTAGCATATCATTTTGCAGAGTAGAGAGGACGACTGTTTCATTAAATGAGTATATGAAAAGTCTAGATTCAGGTCAGAGCCATTAAAATTCTATCGCATCCCATGCAGTTCAACGAATGAACACAAAATATAAAACAACAACGCCACCTTTCCATTAAATGAACACTCAACTTCTCGAATAAATAACGTCAGGCGTGTGCGATAAACATTTCGTATAGTTCCTCTGGTCAAAGTTTGCCGTCGCATCTATGCTGTGCAGAGCTGGCAGTGCGAGATAGGGGATCACCTATCAAGGCGAAACGGTGTCAAATGTGTTACCCATAATACAGCTGGAAAGGAACAACAAAAGGCGGCCAGCAAATCAGACAACGGTGGCCGGGAAATAATAAGTCTTTCCATACCTTTCAGGCAAACCTTCTAACAGAAACATTCGCATTCTAAACGCGGATGCAAAAAATGTGAGAACTAATATCTTTATCTATTTCAAATGGAAGTACCACGAAACATCACACGGCCTGTTTTTTGAACAGAGGAGAAGGTTTAGAGTAGACCTGTCACAGTCTAGCATTATGCAGTACATATCTTTCGTTACACCGTTGCTTGCGATGTGGCGTGTAGACTGCATAGAACTCTGAAGATGCCGGTTTCGATTCCGCTCGAAGGCAATCTGTTTTATTCACGAATTGAGCAAGGAATTTATTATGTATTGCCTCAAAGCAGGGTTACTCAATCGGAAGAGGGTCGAAATCAGAACTGACAGATCTCGAGTTGAAGTTCTGGTCAGGATCACTCGCCTTTCTTCTTCCGAGGTTGATAAATGAGCACCACTCTGTGGGGAGAAAACATCACGCTTAAAGCTTACCATCTGGCTGTCCACTTTGTCGTTAAAATAAGGCACTCCTGGCTGATGGCACAAAAACGAAAATAAGCACCACACCATCAACTTCATGGAAAAAAACGGCGCCAAAATGGTCCAACTACGAAAGTGAATAAAGACCGACATTCCAATGGTGACAAAATTTTCGTTCTTGCGTTGCACCAGATTATCAAAGCTTCGTTAAAAGGGCACCCAGCACGAAAAATTTTTCTGTTGCTCTTCATGATCTTCAATGCCAGCAGTCTGATGATCATCGGTATGGATCTGCCGCCAGAGCTGTGCAAAATTCGAAACTCCATTATTCTTACTGTATTTAGAATAAAGGAAGGGAATTAAATTATCCTGTCATTCTGCGCCAAATTTTGCAGTGATTATTTGGTGGAACTTAGGATTAGTGATAAATCATAAAATTTTTAATTAATCTACCAGTTAATGCTTCATGGCGGCATGGAAAAACTAAAGACGAAAGTTTAACTTCCATTACTATTGTTACCAGCTCACCACCGCGACGCTGTCGAAGACTTCGACCAAGACTATATATGAACAGTGCCAAGACTTGACAACATAACGACAAAAGCCCGAAGGAGGAACGTTCGCAAGTACAGAAAAAACTATTGAAATGTTACGTAAGTCAATTAAAATTATGCAAATTAACACAAGACTGAACTTCAACACTGCCTGCCCCAGATGCTCAGATGAGAAAGGAGGCATGAAGATCGTGGCGAAATCCCCGTAAAACTTAGCTACCGGCCCTTCATGGTACTGACGCCCCTGAACAAAAAACCGGTTCGGTCATCGCCCGGGTTACTAAGGGCCGCGTAGGCTGTCGGGGGACTGAGAAGGGCTGCTAAAAGTCGACGATTAGAACATGCTCACTGCCTTCTGGCCGCCGGGGACGCATCAGCACAACGGATGCCGGAGATCGACAAATCGACGACGAAGATATCAATCAGCAACGGAGTCGCCAACCGTTCTGAAAGGAGGCAGAGAGCGCGATGCCATTATAACATGTCAGAAAAGGCTCCACGGGAACAACACCGCCAGTGGGAACTTACAGTCTGAAACTGAAATATATCCTCACTCAGAGGGAAAGAGCAGGAGCTAGTTGATGAGGCCGCATGGTACCAACATGACATAACTGTGTCCTCGACAATGAAGCGCAAAGGCTCTGGAATTCTAACCTCTGCGGGAAACAATTCTACTCAAGAATCGACACAAAGACGTGTTCAGGCCGGTGTTGGTGTTTACGTAGAACTATCTGACAAAACCATTGAGCGGAAGCCTGTCACCGGAAGAGAGGCAATCCCAACACTGACGCTAAAACAGGCTAAAGCTTTCACGCTGCTCCAGGTTCACGAGGCCAATTTGGAGGGCGAATGAGTCCTTCCTTGAGGAAGTGTAGTGTGCCTGTACAAGGTGGTGACTACGCAGCCCCTCATTCTGTGCAATTTCAATGCGCATGGCGGAACTGTCACTGAAAAGTGGAAAGGTGTGATTGATAAGAACGGTGGTAGCGGCCTTAACAATAACATGAAGTTGTTGCGGTATTGTGCAAACAACAGAATGACGGTTACCAAGAGCCTTCTAGCACGGAAGCGTGAATCAGTATACCAGGCATATGGAAGCTTGCGCAAAGAACTGGATGATCGACTTGACAATCGCATCGTTTGACCAA